CTCCCTTCGCGCCTGCGGGGGCTGCCCGAGCGCAGCGCCCCCGAGCCCGCAGCCCCCCGCGACGCCCCGCTGCTGTCCTCAGGTGGCACAGTGCGGCTGTTTGTCCTGGGCATGAATGAACTCAGTGTTACCGGCTGGGCAATCGTCTGCAGCTCCGCCAAAGCTTGAAAAATTGTAATGCTGCTTTGAAATTTCTTCTTTCTTTAAATTCTAAAGTAAACTTGAAATGCTTCGTTTTGTTTACCAATGGGTAATCCTGACCCATTTAGTAGCCTTTTCACTCTGGCTGTGAAGGATACTCTTTAAAAGGCTGTGACACAGCATACAGTGATGAACTCAGTATTTGGGTGTTTACAAGATTTGGGCCAAAGTTGTTTGACTGAGAAAAGACAAGAAAATTTAAGTCAGTATTCTTATTTTGAACTCAGTATTCTTATTGAATGCGGCATTTGAAAAACCCCGCAATTTTAGTGCTATTGAACAATGACATACAGATCACATCAATTAGTGATAATTTATGTTCTGAGTATTGCTTTAAAAAGAACCTGTTCTTACTGTCTTTAAGTACTTCTTCCCATATGTGCCTCTTGCAGGAGAAGGAGATAAGTGGCACAGGCACAGCCAATTGAACAAAGACTCAAGGAACTAAACAGAAACTCTCCTGACTATAAGGCAGAATATTAACCAGGTTTTAGGAGTGCAGGTGTGTTGGCAGCCAGGTGAGAGGGCCTGGCCTGCAGCCCTAAGGGGAGGTGGCCCCACATCCTCTTCAGTGGGACTGCAGAAAGGAGCAGGATACATTCAGGCAAGACTTGGTGGAGGGTTGGGGCAGGGAGTCCAGCTCACAAAATGGGGGCTGTGGAAACAGATCATAACATTGTGAGACAAGAGACTATGTTTGTGGCTGGGTTTTGAACGGATTTTAAGTGACAGAAATGGGAAGTAGGAAAGCTAAAAAGGAGACATTTACTTACACCAGGATCAATAAGATGATGGTTAGCAGCTAGAAGTTTAACTGCTACCATGAGGTATACTGGGTGTAGACATGAAGGTATAACAATGGTATATTATATTATATCATATCAATCATATCATATCATATCATATCATATCATATCATATCATATCATCTGGAAGTCAATATGTATGATATTGATAACAAAAGTTGTGTGATCCACACAGCATAGACACATGAATTCCTTGCTGCTCCTTTCTGCCAATGTTTTTCAGTCTAGAGAAGACCCTCTATTTAAAAGAAGAATATTTCAGGCCTTACATCCACTGAAGAACTGTGCACCAACAAATGCTGTTAGTTCCCATGGATTGCATGTTCAAGGACTCGTTTTATATGTGGTTGCTGCAGATTTTGCGTCATCTAAAGATAGTTTTAAACTTCTGAACAGTTGACACCTTAGCAGGTTCTGCCTTGCCACCCAAGTGTCTCTACAGATCTGTGTAGCCATGGGGCAATTCAGGCCTGCTGGGCAAACTGAGGTGATGAAC